ACCTTCCACTTTGTACTTTTAAATTTCATTTCATTTCTATTACCTGAGTTCCCAAGGTCTTCCAATTCTGCCTGCTTGGTATTCCAACCCTTCTCGGTACTGGTCATGTTCTCCAACTCCCTGCTATCAAATTTCACTACCACACTTCTAATTTGGGGCTAAAAAAATCAGAGAAAGGTAAGAGCCAACAAGGGGAAATGCAGTGAAGAAGTGTGAAGAGCCAGCCCAAATGACAAAAATCAGCAGCAAAGCTGGAACAATTCAAGTTCCTAATCCTGTATTTGTTTTGTCACCTAACACTGCACTTCTGATCAGGTGTGAGGAGGAATTTGCAGGCTCAGAAAGGTGATGCACATTAATAGCTGACAAAATTGACCCTTCAGTGGTTTGTGTCAGAAGTCTAATATCTACCTAACCTGTTGATAGGCATCCTCAGCAGGAAGAGTTCTGTGTAACTATTTATCCCCAGTAAGTCTGAGCAACGTGTACACACAGATGATGACATTTCATGCCTTGCTCCTTAGGCTTGCACAGTCTCAAAGCATCTCCAGGCATAAAATACATGGAGGTTTTAACATGATAGCCTGAACTGAAATTCTGTAAGCAATAAAATTTAGAGAAACAGCTTAGTTAATGTTCAGAACGTGGTCTGGCAGCCTGCCATGCATAAACATGCACTGAAACCAGAGTTCATGCCAAGATTCTTAGCTTTCAACTTCATAGAAATTCCTTGTGGGGTTTATACTAGATCCTCTTAGTTCATTTAACTTTTTTCTTCCTTTTTGCAGTTTAATCCATGGCTAGTTGAACTTATTACCTTTTTATATATAAGCATTAATAATGTAATAGACATAACTCCAAGCAGAAGTAATAGAATTAGTCTGTTCATATAATTTTGATTAAAGACAGATCTAACACTAAAATGACATTTATTCTGTGCCTTCTGTGCCAAGCCTCTATGAGCACAATGAGATGCTGCAGTGTGACCTGTTACAACAACATGTATGCTTATTCCCATAACAATAAATGCTTCCTAAGGCTTGTAAGAATTCACATTCAGCTCCCAAATCTATTCTGAAGCTCCTCTCAAGCCAGAGGATCCCTCTCCACAGGTTTGATCAAAAGATTGAGGTCTTCATATTTGGGTTCCTGGTATCAGAAGGTCTAATTTGACTTTCATAATCCTCATGTCTGCTTTTCCAAGCCTCAGATCTGCACAAGGGAAATAGCTGGAGGTCCTCCCCAGAGAGTGCATCTTGCTTACTTTTTCTTTTTCCAGTAATAATTACATTGATTTACTTCTTATTTTTTAGAAACTTACTAGTCAGTTACTTAAGTATGTACCAAGCCACATTCAATATATGGATTAGGTGAATAATAAATTCCATATTACCAGATTCTGAGCTCTGTCCTTTCTTATTTACAGCTTCAACGTATAGTTGTGAGGAAGAAAAATACTATTATCCCCAGCTATAAAATTAAACTTAAGGCACAGCTAAGATTTTGTCATGTATCACACAAAGTCCATGGCAGACAAGGAAAAAGGGGTGAAAGACAGACTGGAGTAACAGGTTTAGATTGCACTGAAAACTTATTAATCCCACAGACATTGCACTGTTATTGATTCTGGGCAGATGTAAAATATACAAGATTTTCAACAGCAAATGTTTAACAACAGATCAGTCACACTGGTCTCACTATTTATTTTCAGCTTTTTTTTTAAATGGAGAACTTAACCAAGAAATTGTGTTCAAATCACATGAAAAGATTGTGTTGTAAACTGTTGTTTTAGACACATCCCTTGAGGCCTTTGGAAAATGATGACACATTTCACACTATTGAATTCAGTCACATTTAAAAACTTAGCATGATTCTGTGGCTGTAATGCAGATTTCAAATGAGGTGTACTTCTGTGCCCTCTTTTCACAGAAAAGTAGTGACTGCTGAGACAATAAGTACAACTACCATGCTGCCTTTGCCCAAAAGAAATTTGGATCACACTAAAAAAAATAAAAATCTATCATTAGATTCTCCTCAAATTAGGCCATATTGGCCCATAGCTCAATAAGGCTGACCAACCAATTGATTTTGAAAAGAATAACTGAAAATGTCAAGAAATGCTTAATTTAAAGTTTTATATTCAATTCACATCATCTGGGTAAACAACCCTCCCAGTACTGCAACATCATGGCAGATTTATATGCACATCTGTGTGTGCAGATGTTTCTGCTGATGCACATAAAGTGGCCACACCCACTCAGAGCTTTGAGCATCAAATCTCAGCTCCACACCTTCAGTGTTTTTCCCCACCATCCAGAAGGGCACATTCATGTAAATATTTGTGCAAATATGTTTATATAACATGACATAAATTTCACAGAGCAGCTAAGGGTAATTGGGCTAATTACTGCAACCTTGCCTCTGCTGATTTACGAGGTACAAGGCTTCTGCCCCGGAGTGACTGCAGTGTCAGATCCAAGAAAGTTTAACTGCAACACCACTTCTGCACTCCAGCCTCCTGTGCAAAGCCTACACTGAGAACCTGATGTAGACATGATGTCTATAAAATTAGTTTATTAGTTTGGCAGTGAGGGGAAGGGCAGGATAATTTCCCTAGAAATCAACAATTATCCACGAAATGCTGGTCTAGTGCATCCACAGCAAGTAATACTCTTATGATGCATCTCATCAGGCTGCCTTCTAAGAAATGTTTTAACAAATATTTTAACAATCTATCTCCAACAGCACAGCCATGAAGTAAGGACCAGATTTCTTCTAACCACATCTCTGCATGCAAGAAGTGTGCTGTCACTGCTGTACCTGCTATGCTGGCAGCAGCTCTACCTGTGCATGGCTTCACCTGTGGGCACAGAACCTCTGATGGAAGATTATGATCCAGTAAATCAATGTGGTTGAAGACAAGTGATTAAGAGCTTAATTACATATGTAAGCTTTTTATGTTTTCTTTTTGGAAAAGGCTTAGTAGAAGATGATTACTAGTCTGTTAATTTGCTCCATAAAAGGTTTCATGAATAATTATATGTAAAATGCTAGTTTTGAAGTAATTCAATAGAACCACTAAGATGGCCAGATAGAAGGATACCTAAGTTTTGATGAACTTCATATTACTGCTTTTGCTTGGTAGACCACTGGTTAAGGTTGGTTTTACTTTTCCATAGAATGATTCTTCCTACACAAAAGAGTTTTGAGACTCTTTTATGGGGTTTTTTAGCATTTTCAGTAGGTCTAAAAAGGCATTCTTAGCCATGAATTCTTAAAATATGAGAGGTATTATTATTCATGAATATTATCCACAAGAAGAGAAATAGTTTCTCTGGACTTGTGAGACTGTGTCTTGGAAAAAGGGACAAGAAAAGAAGTTGCAAGGACTCCAGTTTTAAAGAGAAAAGAAAGAGGGAAGCAGAAAACATAAAAATTACATCAATTTAAATAAAACATTTAAGCCTTGTGATTAACATGAGGCCTCCATTTGGAAGGAGACTGTTGAAAGATTGCTTGCTACAAATCTGTCTCGAGTTAGAAGTGTTTTCAGGTGAATGTGTCGATTTCATTCAATTTACCATTTTCAAATGCTGGCCAACTCTCACGTCAGGTGGGATGTAGAAATTAACAAGTGAAATCCTCAACCTCTGTTCCCTAGAAGACTAAACCAGATATTTACAAAGATTTCCTTGAAGCCTGGTAAATCTAAGCATCCATTTTTACTGTGGAATGCCCTTTTCTGTATGAGAACTCAGCAGTCCCAGCAGGTGGATGTGATCAGTGACTGCAAGTGAAGACACATTCCAAGACAGCTGTTAATTGCCACCATTGCTAAGGCCACACTCTGTTAGGCTGAGATTCCGAGCAGCATTTCTCACACAGAGATGACCAAAACTACAGAAAAGCACAGGGAGAATAAGCTAAGCAGGGACACACCACATTTAACTGCAATACCTTGACTTCCCCTTTCCAAAGTCAGATCCAATTTTAGGATCACAGAGACAAAACCAGAACATAAAAGTTTGACTTGTTAATATCCTATAAAAGACCAGGATTCCTAACTAAACAAACAAATTCTTGCAGAAGGGTACTACCAGAACTGATAGCCAGCTCTAGTCTTCCCTTTCCTAGAGTCTCACTGTGGCCACAGTGCACAAATCCCAGAAAATAAAGAACATTTAGCCTCACTGTGCTCATGATCAACACAATCAGTAAAGCTTCCATCACACAGTCTTGGGCAGACTGAAGCAGGGTTTTCTGTGCGCTCCAAAAAAGCTTGTTCAGTGTACAGACGGCAGAAGTAAGAGGAACTACTTAAATATTACTTCTATTTTAAAAAAGTTGCATTTCCCTTTCTGCTGTCATTGACTTAATACATGATTGTATTCAAACTAGGGGAAGTCTAGAATTAATTTTGAGCTTAAGAAATCTATTTGTTTTATACAGATAACACATTATAATACATCTTAAAAATATCCCTTTTTTCCAGACTACAGGGAAGAAAAAGAGCTAAAGCACTGCTTCCTCCAACACTACACCAGCCTCAAAGATCTCTACAGGCAGAATTGACAATAAAATCCTTTCCACAAAAGCTGCAGGCACAAAAAGCTTTGCTGTTTACCACCTTGTGGCTTGAACTGGTAAGTATTCCTTCTTACATACACACCATTCCATCATTTTTCAGTTAAGCAGACTCTTAAGCAGCAAGCACTGAACAAGAAACTTCACTCAAAGTTCCTCCTCAGAGGAAAATCGAAGACCATAAGAACAGCGAGACTGACACGGAGCCCGGGCTGCCCCAATCTATGGGGTAAATCAAGAATGCCAGGACTGTCTGTCCAGCTCCCAAACAACCCCGAGCATCCCTCACACAGGCACCAACCGGTTGCCCAAGCTGCATTTCTCTTCTACGCACAGCTCTCGGCAGCCAGCAGCCCCCTGGAAAGATGCTACGATCAACGGAACAAGAAACATGCGGTAAAGCGAGCAGTACTCACATCCCGGAATTTGTTCCAGTACTTGTCTTTATCGTACTGCGAGACGGTGCTCAGCCATTTGTCGTTGTCCAGGAAATTGCCATGATTGCTGTTACTCGTGATGATTTCAGGATGCCGGCTCTCCACTTGCAGGAAGCACCAGGCAGCGATCACCAGCACCCCCGACATCTGCAACGAGAGGAGCGGAGCGAGGAGCGGCGGGGGCAGCGGGGCAGCCCCGGCTCCTCGGGCTCCCAACTTTTGAGGGGACCCAACTTGGGGCCACTCGCCCCTCACGGCCCTCGCCAACTTCTGCCTGCGGAGCTGCCGGCTCCGCCGAGACCCGCCGTACCCTCCGGCGGCCCGGCCCGGAGGGGCGGGGAACAGCGTCAGTAACAACAATAATAACAATAATAATAACAACAATAGTAATAACAACAATAAAAACAAACCGGGCCGCTGGGGCCGGGCGGGGAGCAGCCAGGGGACAGCAGCGGTACGGAATCGCAGCCAAGCCCCTCGCGGGCGCAGCCAGCGCTGGCTCCGCGAAGTTTGGCTGCCAGGGCGGAGAAGAAGCTCCTACCTCCGGGCAGTGCCGCCGGCCGGGCTCCAGCACCGTGCGCCGCTCGTCCTCCTCCCGCTGCCGGTGCCGCGCTGCGCTGCGCCCGAGCCCTGCGCGGTGCCGCTGAGCTGCGTGCGGTGCCGCTGCGCTCTGTGTCTGTGCTGTGGCGGTGCCGCTGTCTGTCTCTCAGTCTGTCTGTCTGTGTGTCTGTGTGCCTGTCTGTCGGAGCCCGCGCGGAGCCGCTGCCCGTGGCGCGTCCCGAGCCCGCCGTGTCCGTGTTGCGGGTGCGCGCGGGGCGGGCGCGGCCGCGGTCTGGCTCCCCCTGGCGGGCGCGGGCCGCGCTGCAGCGCAGGGGCGGAGCGCGGGCAGCGCCGCCGCAGGGCCGGGCCGGGCCGGGCCGCGGGGCCCGTGAGGGGCGGGGGGCGTTAAACACAAACAAGAGAGGCAGCGTTTAAATACTGCAAAGGCGGCTGCCAAGAGGAGCGTGGGGATCCTTTTCGGTGGTGCCCAGAGACAGGGCAAGGTGCAATGGCCATAGATTAAACGCAAGTTTCACCTGAGCATGAGGAAGACCTTCAGGTGGAGGGTGACTGGAACGGGCTGCCCCGGAGGGAGTGGAGTGTCCCTGTACGGAGATAATCAAAACTCATCTGGACACGGTCCTGTGTCACCTGCCCCGGGTGATCCTGGCATTGCAGTTGGGCTGGGTGATCTCCAGAGGTCATTTCCCATCCAAACAATTCAGTGAAACCTGGGGAGGGTGACTGTGAGGATACCTGAAGAGGAGGGCTGTAAGCAACCCTAGGAAGAGCTCTGTTAGGAATCTTGGGGAGAGTCGTCTGTGAGGATACCTGGAGAGGAGGGCTGTAAGCAATCCTGGGAAGGAGGTCTGTAAGGAATCCTAGGAAGGAGGTCTGTAAGGAATCCTAGGAAGGAGGTCTGTTAGGAATCTTGGGGAGAATCCTCTGTGAGGATACCTGGAGAGGAGGGCTGTAAGCAATCCTGGGAAGGAGGTCTGTAAGGAATCCTAGGAAGGAGGTCTGTAAGCAATCCTGGGAAGGAGGTCTGTAAGGAATCTTAGGGAGAATGTCTGTGAGGATACCAGGAGAGGGTGCCTGTGATCATATGTGGGGATGATCTCTTGGGAGAAATCCTCAGTGAAGTCTTCACTACCGCTGCAGTCTGAAGAGACATAAAAGTGGCCTTAAAAACATAAAACCCCTATCAAACTGCAGCTTTCGTAAGCCCTGGGAAGGGATGACTGTCTTGAGTCAATGGTTTTACAATTTACGGGAGCAGTGACATTTCCAAAGCTCAGAGGTCATCCCGGGTTTGTTCAGGAAGGCGCTCCCTCCCTGGGCTAGCACATCCCACACTGTGAAAAGGTTTTGCTCCTGCACTGGAGAATGACCTCAGACACTGCCCAGGAGGTCAGAAGGGTGCAGTGAGAACAGCTCATGTTGTTAAAAAGGAGGAGGGACAAACAAGGGGCACTACATCACTCTGGGAACTGGGCTGAAAGGAGGAGACCTTCTCCAGGGATAGAAAGGAAAGTTCTCCATTATCAGTGGAGGAGGTGGGAGGGGTCTGCTGGTTGGTTTCCTACATCTGGGAACTCATCCCCTGATACATCATATGATGCCCTAAAATGAGGACATACACTTTGGATGGTCATTTTAAATAAAGCTGTGACTATTGTTCCATGTGATGTTTTTCAAATATGGTTCATTAAACTGTCTTGTAAATAATGCCTTTTCTCTACAAAAAATTGTCAACAAGGTTAATTCCACATTTCCTGACAGACACATTGGGCATTTCTTAAGTAATACAGAACAGGGTCACGTTTATTTATCTTTTTACTGCTGCATCTGAGCACTGAATGCAGGACACAGATCTATTCCTAAATCTGATTTTAAATACAGTTCCCAAATGTGATGTTACCTCAATAAAATCCTCAGGGATTTAAAAAAACTGTGAAGTTTTATTAATTTTAACAGCAGAGAACAAACACATGCACATAAGTGCCCTGCATTGAATCCTCCCCTTGGTGCACATAGAATCTAATGAAAAGTACATGCCTGCAGGAGGGCAAAATATAACCCAATAAAAGCAACAAATAGAAGAAATCCAAACTGAAGCCCTGCAGATTTGAATGTAAATCCTTACCTAAAAGCCTTGCTGTGCCCTCCCTTTTACAATGGACTGTACTGTTTTGCTGAAGGTGGCCCAGGGCACATATTCCTCTCAAATCTCTCTCTGTTGTGCACAGACCATCCTATAAACTGTTCATTTCTGTGGGAGATAAGGTTTATATAACTTCCACCTGGCAGGGTCAACACAAGCTCCCTCCCTTCTTACTTAGATTAACGGGGTACTGTTCAGTTTACTCTGTATGGGCCTTTTCTGTAAGGCTTTTAACAATAGAGAATTTGTCTCTTCTGCACAGTCATTAAAGATCTTTCACCATTTTAAATCTGATGGTTAAGAGATTTCCCCTGTGACCTTATAGAAATCCATGGCCATTCAGCTTTACACAGTTCCATTTGACTCATTTCAGCACCACCAGGCACAAACCCTATTACCTGCTAAATATTTGAGGACTTTTATGCCCCATGACAGTTGTGCACAGGAGCACTAATTACTGCTTTCTTCATCCCACTGGAGATCCAACCAACTCAATTCTCCCTTGACCAATTCTTCAACTCATGAATTCCTAGGCTTGGCTTGGTAAAAAGCAGCAGAACATTGTTTCCCCCAAACTTGCAGGAGTTCCACCCATTATATATTTATAGGAGCAGTTAGTTCACCCCTGTAAAACACACTTGTTAGCACAGTGAACCAGACTCAGTCCTTTGGTGACCTCAGTACTGTTGACTTCACTGAGTATGAAATAGGCTGCTCTGCTTGCCAGTCAAAGACCTGGATGATAAATTACAGAAACATTGTCTATAAAGTGAGTAATTACTTTCTTACATGTAGAATTTGTGTCAGAAATGTGTCTTCATTTATTTAATTACTTCATAATCCCATATTCAACACATGGCTAATCTTTCTTGATCCTGTAAAACACAGCCTTCCTGTTTAATCCTGATAGCAATCTCTATCACTCAGCAGCTGCTGCATTTCACCTCCACACTGTTTATCATCCATGACTAGAATTGAAACACCCTTGTCGGCTGGTTTTTATCTTGGGATGGTGCTATAATTGCTTCTAATTCTCATCCAAAAATACAGGATTGCAGATCTCCCTGTTGTGGATGACTTAAGTATTTGGTATTTTGGATGTAGACAGCTCCTTTGTTCCAAATTAGAAGAAATACTGAAATGGTAAAAACCTTTCTTTTATTTTTTGGGGTTTTTTTTCTCTTTTTTTCTTACAGCTGTAAAAAGTGCCACGGTATTGAATTTGGATATTATTTGATAATTCAACTGTATAAATCTTTTGATCAGAAGTTGTTTTAACAGCCATACCCTGCCAGCTTCTCTGTGCTGTGGCTGTCCAGGTTTGTTCTGGAAGCAGAACCCTCTGGTGCAGAAAGGATTTCACACACACACACAGGAATCAAGGGGCAGATCTCGACTAAGACCAAGCTCCCCGTGCAGAGCAATGAATGTCTTTGTGGTCTTAATAGGGCACTTGGGAACTCTCAGGTAACAGAAGAGCCTTCAGCACCAGCCTTGCCTGCAGCAGAAACACAAACCAAGGATGGCAGGAAAACCAAGCCAGGCCCTCCTGCTTTCCCTGAAGCTCCCCTCACCTGGCCTCCCAGCAGAGCCCATGGCCAGCAGCTGTGTACCCAGCAAGGTGAAGTCCACAGCAATAGCACAGAAGCATGTGCAGGATTTTACTTCCTCCTTTTATATTTGGCAGCAAGATTCACTTTTTCACTACCTTGATTGCTTCCATAGTTCTTGAGGCAGAGGCTGCAGCCTTTGTAGTGGCACCTCAAAGCTTCTGTGGACTTTTATTCATGGCTTTCCTCCTTCTCTTTTGAGCCACAATTCCTCTCATTCAATTTTTTTTTAAACATTCACTAAGGAAAGAAAATCTTTGCAGTGACCAATGTTTAAAGTGAATTTCTTTACTGTACCAGAGTCCTTCATGACTGGATTAGAAAAATTCAGGTCTGGTAATTTAAACAGATTTAAAAATATATCACTATAAAGGTGCATGCAGTGGGATAGACCTTTATTTAACAACCCTTTGTATCTTCCATGTACTGTCGTATCCTTTTAATAGACAAGAGTTTTATTTCCTCCTGTGAGTCTCAGAACTGCAGATTCAGCTTTGTTAGCTCTGCTGGCCAATTGTGCAGAAAAAAACCTAGTTTAACCTGTGCAATAAGTGATTGGTGGCTTATACAAAGTTCCTGAGACATTTGTTCATTTTACAACATGCCATAATTCTGCTTTAAAAATACTGCAAATACAGGTTCTGATTTGACCTCTTTATTTGCCTCTGCTCCTGGCCTCTGCTCCCTGTGACAGCCACATTTTATTGCAACAGTGCCTGGAATTTTGCAAGAATTTGTTAAATGCTTGCTACATGAGTATGTCCCATGGCAGGAGAGTTATGGTTCCTAGCAGGCAAAGTGTCCCCAGTTACTTTGGTGACATTGCAGTTGGTGCAATCCCCCATGTTCTCATCCTCCTGAACCACTTAACCCCTTAATGTAATTACTTAAATCACTTAATGTCAGAGATTTCAGTGAAAGAGAAAACATCCAATGACCAGGAAAGATTATCATGTTCTGCAATCTATTTGCTAGTTGTAATTACCCAGATTAAAGTGAGTTTTAATACTGGCAAGTCCTGGACAAAGTAAAAGCTGAGCACAGTTTATGGTAGAGAGTATTAGAAATAAAATAATTCAAGTAAAAGGACAGTAAAAAATTAATAATAAAATTATTTATCACATAAAAAAGTGGAAGGTGGTTTTCTAGGTAAATCTTTCTCAAGTTGCAATGTCTTGCCCATGTCTGTCTAGAAGTGAGAAGAGAAAAATGCATTTAAAATTGAAAAGACTCATGTTCACATAAAATGTATAATCAAATACAAGGTTACAC